TGCAGTAAGTTTTTCTTACATAGGATATCAGAGCGTTTCGCGCCTATCTTCTATTTCAACTTTTTATTGTTGCTCAATCTTTCCGCATTTTCTCTTTGATGAAACAATAAAACATGTTTTTGCGGATTTACAATTTTGTTTTTGTGGATTTTAAAAATTTTACGAAAATCAAACATTTTGGAGACAACTTTTTGTAATTCAAATTTCTTAGCATCCCATATACCTTCCCTGGGGTCTTAAGTGAGGTCCAACACAAAAGTTTGACTTGATCGGTTCAGCAGTTTGAAGTTTATTGGATACAAACAAAAAAAACAGATAAGTAAGATATAATTTGGTCTAAAGTAGTCCAGAAGTATAAATATGAGTAATAAGCATGTGAGTGAGACAGAAGAATTTAAATCTTTAAAAATAATGTTAGTTTTTGTCTTAAAACCTTTATCTGCGTCAGATTGAGTAAAATATCGTCATTTTCTTTCTAACAACGTTTTTAATTCTGACAGATGCCTTTATTGTCTCTACAGCATATTTCCGCAAGTCTTTTTTTTAGAGAAACCACATTTGAAAATTAGTCAACTTTAAAAGTTAAAACATGGAAATTTGATTCTTGATCATAAAACCACATACACCACTTTACAAATGAATGGGTACTTGAACCACGTCTACGCTACCTTAAATAAAAATTTCTTTTCAGAACTGCAAAGTGCATCTTTCCCCAAAGAAAACCAGAGAAGCATATGTGATAAAATCATCTTCTCAAAATGAAAGAAAAATACAACTGTTGTAATGAAAAGAAAACGTACGTATCTATATATCCACCTAACTTTACCTATAGTTGTGTTAAAGCGTAAATGTATATTTATCTCTGCGCCAAGAGCAGTGTGACCCTTGCTCCCGCGCGTATTCGGTAGAGGCATGGAGGAAGGCCAGCCACGACAATTACTAGTCCGAGCAACATTCTCCGCATTTTATCGTCCGAGCCAACACGAAATCTCGTCTTTCCCGCTGAAAAAGATGCTTAATTGTATAACAACGTTTATGTAGCATATTAATTTTTTCACAAATTGAAAAATTGTTTGAGAAAATTTAATATTTTATTTTTGCCCTGACGTCGCCAGATTTTCAATAAATATGTTTATCTCCAATGGTTGGACATTTAAAATTAATAATTTAGGAAAGACGAGGGTTCCGAGGTGGCTCGTACGATAAAATGTGGCTCGTGCAAAATATTGCTGTGCTTGGCCTTCTTCCCCTCGGTAGAGAGGTGCGCCGAAGAAAAAGTGGCGGGAAACTGAGGTAAACCATGATTTACAAGGATGTATAAAAACGATATATATATACATTGAATACACGGTATCAATTTTATTGATACATTAGCTGAGATCAAATATCAGAGAGCAAATAGATTCGAGTTATTTCCACGACAGCCGGCGTCCTAATAATATTCAGTCTAAGGTGAATACTTTATACATTACGGTTAATTACGATGAAAATATGAAAGTTTGAGTATTTTCAAATATAGCTCCTTTTCTAAAAAAACTATCAATAGGTTCAAAATTATCTTTCACCAAACCAACCAAAAACTCATGGACCTGTAAAACGAAATCTTAATGAGTCACAATTTAGCAAAAAATAACTTTTCCCATATATGTTGTGAATTAAGGGTTATATATTTAGACGTAAATTGAAAAGAGAGAAGGTGAAATTTTAGGGGGTTTCTTGTGTTGTGGAACTGAACCTTCCTAGCTATATCATTTAAAATAAGAGATTGAATGGTTGTGATAAATAGGAGTTTCTTTCTCTATAATTAGCGTCTCTGAAATCTGTATGGATTGAATTGGGTGTAAGTTATGCAATGCATAGATCCCGACTTTGTATTAGAAATCTTAGTTTCTTGATGTTTGAAAGATTGTTTACTAAAGTGTAAAAACTCGCAATTCTCATTAAAAATAATTAATGATAGATTCAAACGAAAATAACTTTATAATTGGGTTGGTATTTAATTAATTTTAACTTCTTTTTAAGTCAACAAGAAATGTTCCATGAATGCTATAAAATTGTGATAATGCGGGAGGGAAAGAGAGGAAATTTCCTAAGTTCTTTCTTTCTTTTGCTTTCAGTTTTCATACAAGAGATTTATTAAATAAACCTTTAAGACTCTGTATTGATTGTTTCACAATATACTCTTAGCTGGTGAATCTATAAGAGGTTGCGCGAGTAAACATGATAATTATATGGGGGATGATTAAAAACTTGATATAAAGAAAAAATTTAAGTTGAATATAACACGGAAGAACCCTGAACTAGGAAAAAGAACAATAGGTTTAATGCGACCTTAAAAATAACTTATTGAATGTCTCGGCGTCCTTAAATGGAAAATTCGTGATTTAGACCACTGAGCCCGGAGTTCATCCAGCTAATAAAGACTAAACTTAAGAGTAGTTTTCTACACTTAAGCCTCGACTCAAGGCATAGATTTTGGGCTCAGAAGATTTATTTAACAAGGTTATGAAATTTGTAGTCCTAATCACTTTTTGAGTCATCGAATATTTTAGGTTCTGTCAAATTAGTTTTGAAATGACTTTTTAATAAAAGATGGATTCACAAGTGACCGTAAATATTAATCAGAATTCAATGGTCAATTTTCGTTGGAAAATCTCATTTTGAAGATGGTTTAACAAAAATCACAAAAATCAAGGATGACTTTATTTGAGGGATCAAGCATTTATTCTCAAATTTAAAAATGCCCACATTGGATATCGAGATCTAGTGTTAGTTCAGACAGCTGGTCTCTTAATAATAGAAACTTATAAATCTAATTAATATTTATAAAAAGAAACATTAGTTGTGTGCATAGATAAAGATTATATCTTGAAAGATATAAATGTACAGAGATGTTTTAAAGATATTCCTATTATATATGTTTATAGATTACACATTTCGATAAATGTATAGGCGCAGAATTTCTCCTGGGTTATTTACGGCTAAGTCTATCAAACCTTGTTTATCCTTTACTAAAAAGCATAGGAAAGTCTGGCAGATAGAACCACTGTGGGCTCATAAACATTAACTCTAACCATTAATTCTCCAGGCTTGTAATAATATAAAAATTCCCGTTCTCTTTGAAGTATTACCTAGAATGGCCATCCTTTGGTTGTTTGAGATTAAAAATTATCAAATAAAATTAACATATTGTGCCTGAAGTTAATGTTTTCCACCGAAATTTGCCGAAGTTTCCTAAAAAGAACAGATATTTGTTATTTTTTTTTAAAAATCTGAAAATTAAAAAATCTGAAAAATTGAAATTTTGAATTAGAAAAATAATTATATCATAAAATTTCTCTTGTATTAAAATAACTATAATTTGTTAAAGTTTAATCTTTCCTTGCAAAAATAACAATTTTTGAAAGCTTGTTTAAAAGTTCCCTTAACAAAGTTTGAAAAAATCCAAATATTTATATTGCGATAAAATAAAATTAAAGGAAAGCTCGAAAGGAACATTGGTCTTTTCATGTGTGCCAATGCAATGAAGCACCGGCCATTGTCGGATTGGTTTTCCCGTTTTAATGGGAAAACCCCTACATGGGTCCGGTGCTCCACGAACACCGGACCCATATAGATTAACTAGGTCGGTTGTGAACATTGGCTGTTCTTATGTCATTGAGTACTTGTGGTGTACATGAGTTCTGTAGAGAGAAATTTAAGTTAGTTCAGTCCTTCTCATGTCCTTCTTCAGTTCTCGTCAATATGATATATTGCTTTGTGAAATATTGTTGTTCAAATAATTCCATTCCCGGAGTTATTTTACACTCTAAAACGCCAAACCACCCCGCTTATCATTGAAGTACACTTTGACCCCTAGAAGTATGAGTTCGCGGACTGTACAATTCTTGGTGATTTTGCGTACATAAGCTATCTATGTTTATTTATTTATCTATGGTTGTGTGCTTAATATAATTTTATCTTAGACTTCAATAATATATATAAAGCACTGGACCCATGCTGGGTCTTGCTTTTTAAAAAATATCTTTCCTTAAAAAACTCAATGTGTATGGCAAAGCTGGGTTCCCAAGCTAATATTGATCTTAAATGAAAATCCTTTCCGATTTCGCTGACAAATTCCGTGGTTTACAATGATTTAAGAAATGAACTATAAACATAGATTTAATACATAAAGCAAATCAAACATAGAGCTGAAAATACTTGCAAGAGATGCAAGAACGAAATGAAGCGTCAAGTCAACTTCACAATCTCTACATTGGGACGAGCGGGGGAAGGCAGGCGGCCATGAGCCACCACTATTTCACCTTCCGGGCCACATATTAGCTTTTTTCTCTTCCGGCAGCCATGAGCCACCACTATTTCCCCTTCCGACTAAATATACCATTTAAAAAAGTAGTTTTGCCCGGAAGAGTCAAATGTGGTGGCCCGGAAGGGGAAATAGTGGTGGCTCATGGCTGCCGGAAGAGAAAAAAGCTAATATGTGGCACAGAAGGGGAAATAGTGGTGGCTCATGGCCGCCTGCCTTCCCCCGCTCTTGGGACCCCTATTTTCATCTTAAAACCTTACAGTTGTAGAACTAATTAAATTTATCCAAAATTATGTATGATTTGAATCAATTCGTGTACATTTTGAAAGAATCTGGAAAATTTCGTCGTCATGAAAACCGTGAAAGAAAACTTCTTCCCTAAGATTTAAATCCAGAATCAATGTTCATTTTCACAAAAACCTTTTAAAAAAGTTAGACGTATTGTATTACCCAAACAGCCCCATTAAATATCCTTTAACCCCCCTCCCCTCCTCACTTTTTGTCGTTAAAAATATAATGTAAAAGTAATAAAACACCGCTAACTTAGAGTAGCTTAGAAAATAGGCAAAAAGCAGATTTTGAAATGGGATTGAAAGGAAGGAAAATGATGAATAACTAAATTCCTCAAGTATATAGCAACATATGTAATACTCGTTGACTGGTTCATTTGGATCCGGTGGTGTTGAATTAAAACTAAGAAAAAAGAATTTTTATTACATTGTTGACTCTTAAATACGCATAAAATAAGTTAAAGGTGTTTGAACAGATCTGTAATAAATCCTACAATATCACAGACAAATACCAACTGTGGATTGTGGAGAAATGAAACAAATGCTTTATCAATTATTCTTATTTTCATACCAAGATCTAACAAAACGTTTGAAAAGTAAAAATTTTTGTTCACTCTCTCTCTATCTGACATACTGGAAAAAGGCAAGGAATCAGTTTCCCCTTGACGCCGGTTTCTCCTCTTTATCTTGAATATACTTCTCCACAATCTTCCGAACATGCTCAATAGCCTTTTTCTCCTCAACCTTCTCATTCAATGGCTTGACACAGTCAGGATTATAAGGTTTGCTCACACAAACTTTATCCATCACAATAATATCCTCGTTCCGCCAGGACACTTCTTCAATCGTCTTCTTGATAGCGGTGAAGAGGCGCTGACCGTCAGGGGATACCCCGGCCTTGAGCGCAGCGACGAGCTGACGTTTAAGTCTTATCTGCTCGTCAGCTCGATCCTCCAATCGTTGAACGTTGAGAGAAGGCGGGGGCGCGATGGTAGAAGTACACTCTTTCTTTACCTGAAATATGAAGGTTCGGTTTGATTTTTAGAAAGTCATGGGGTGTATCACTGTATACTGCATAATTTTAAGAATGGTTTTTGATGAAAAGAGGGGGGGGGGAATGAAAAACTGTACATCAAAAGGCAAGTTCTTTAATCTTTTTATATACTGCCCCCCCCCCAAAAAAAAATAATTTATATTCCCCAAAAAAACATAAAATTTTCCCAATTCATCGAAAAAACACATTGAAAATTCATGCTTTATAATAGTGTCAACTGGGAGGCTCACCGGCAGAAATCCTTTTACCCCAAACCCCGGAATAGTAATTTAAATAAAAATTGTCATTATTCTTTGATGTCAAATACATAGTGAAAAATCTGTTGTTTTTTTTGTCGGTTTCTATCCAATAAACGTCAAAACGGTTGAAATTTTGTGTGGACCTCACATCACCCCAGGGGAGGTTTAAGGATGCTAATAATTTCAAAAAGTTGTCTCCAAAAACTTAAGATTTTTGCAAAATTTTAAAAATACACGAACAAATATTTTAAGTCTTATTTTTTTATATTGGACCAAGAGAATATGCTCAGTGCTCACAGATAGACCCACAATTGAAAGTTGAAATAGAATATAGGGACAGCCTAGCTTTAATATATCTTAATATTTTTTACCTTGACGTCTGAAACAAAGTCGAGGTTGATGATCTGAAGGTTATTAAGATTGGATCTATTGATGGACTCCGTCTTGATGATCAGAGCCTTTCTATGCTGGTCGTAAGCAATTATCTCTCCTTCAACTTCCTGAACAAACGAATATATTTTAATCAGTGTTTTTAGTTATCTTAGTTTGTATTCCATTCAAACATTCGATTCAAACCTTTGTCTGATCAAGGATGAATGAAACATCTATATTTTTCTGGCTGAAATTTTATTTTTTTTCACTCTGTGCAGTAGGGTGTCTAAAAAAATGAATTGTTCAATATCAACATGAGGGCACTTTTTTCCCATTCTCCTTGGCCTCCTGAGTCATAATGTAGCATTTAAAAGTTTGTGAGACATCAAACTTAGGTACATGTAAATTTTGAAATTTCACCAAAATTCAATTTTCACAAGTATTTCAGCTTAATTTTTTTTTCTGAAGAAAAATATCAATTGCTTTTAGATAGTCATAATCAGAAAGACCCGGAATTAATTGACAGTTAATCAAGCGACTTTACATATATCTCTAGCAATTATAAATGCTCATAAAAGGCAACCACATTTTGAAAATGGCACGACTATGGCTATTTTGTGATTATCGTTTCAAAAATCATATTTGTAAAATTAGATTGTAAAGTTGCCTGATTAACTGTAAATTAATTTTGGGTCTTTCTGATTAGGACTGTACTACCAGGTTGGGCTTGCTTATGTCTTTCTTTTATCTGTTATCCCTGGTTACAAGCATAACATTTTGCTTCATATCTTCAGATTTGTAGCTGTTAACAAAGTCCTGAATAAGGCGAATATTTCGTTCAGCACAGTTGTTAACACAGATATTTTTCTTGATGAAACATTTGAACTTTTAATAATAATCAGAAGCTTCTCCTTTTAATGCCCACTTCCCCACATCTCCGTAAGAAACCATAGCAACCTTCAGGGGAATCTAACTCTCTGGGGTGACCAGCTCAGTCAGTTCTGATGACCTGGATATGACCGGTAGCTTAGGTTTACCAAACCTAAACTGATCTGGGACGTCATACTGGAGCAGTTCTCCAACATCTTCAGTTTCTCAGCCTCCTTAGCAGCATCATAGGTTATAACCACTGCCAGCATTACAAGCTGCACAGTTAGATACCAGGAGTGCCGTTTTGCATACTTAAAAGAAGTGCTTGGCCTAGGTTTGAATATTGATTTCTGATATGAAATGCTGATTTTAAAGCAGCTAGATCATTGTTAGTGGATTTTGTACAAGATATCATTTAAAAACCAGAGACCATAGCAGATAAAAACAAAATAAGAAGCTGTGTCCACTAACTACTTCTTCTCCTCTGTATTCAGCAGATAGAAACAAAATAAGAAGCTGTGTCCACTAACTTCTTCTCCTCTGTATTTAGCAGATAGAAACAAAATAAGAAGCTGTGTCCACTAACTTCTTCTCCTCTGTATCAGCAGATAGAAACAAAATAAGAAGCTGTGTCCACTAACTTCTTTTTCTCTGAATTCAGCAGATAGAAACAAAATAAGAAGCTGTGTCCACTAACTTCTCCTCTGTATTCAGCAGATAGAAACAAAATAAGAAGCTGTGTCCACTAACTACTTCTTCTCCTCTGTATTCAGCAGAAGAAACAAAATAAGAAGCTGTGTCCACTAACTTCTTCTCCTCTGTATCAGCAGATAGAAACAAAATAAGAAGCTGTGTCCACTAACTTCTTTTTCTCTGAATTCAGCAGATAGAAACAAAATAAGAAGCTGTGTCCACTAACTTCTCCTCTGTATTCAGCAGATAGAAACAAAATAAGAAGCTGTGTCCACTAACTTCTTCTTCTCTTTAATTCATGAATACTTTATCTGTCAGTTTCATTTTCTCGGCCTCTTCAACAGCATAATAGCTGTAAAGCCATCGCACACAGTCTCAAATGGTTACATGGGATATGCAGAGCATTAATCCGAATGGTTAATATCTAGGAGTTAATCTGGTAGATAGTTGATAGATATGAGATTTATCAGAATGGTTAATATTTAGGAGTTTATCAGGTAGATAGTTGATAGATATGAGATTTATCAGGATGGTTAATATCCAGGAGTTAATCAGGTTTATTTTGAAGTTTTTACTGATAGCTGAACTTACAGTAAATGTGAGATAACACTGAAAATTACACGAAATTCACGTAAATCAAAGTTTTCAGATTTTAAATGATGTACCTAAGTTAGTTGTCTCTGAGACTTTTTATTACAATATTTACCATGTGGACTCAGGGAACCAAGGCGAATGGGAAAACCAGCCCACAATAAAAGCTCTGTTTTTTAAGACACCCTTTCCGCAGCTCATTGAAGATAAAAAAAACCACAAAGCACTTGAAAACACATGTACAAGGTGACTCACGAAGAAGTGAAAGTAATAAAATCATAAGGAACATAGGTTCTCTGGGTGATGTCAACCCATAGTATTGAAATGCAAAAACATTTTTTGCTTTAACTTAATGAACTTGGTGGAAGTAGTTTCAGAATAGCGGGGGGGCAATTTGACACTTTGTGACACCACATCACCCATAGAACCTATGAATCCCAACTTTCTTTTTAAACCCATTTTGTGTCACCCTAATATACATAGTTATCTTTAATAACTTAATTACTGATTCACCAACCACTGGAGATGGAAAGGAATTGAATCTTTGCCCACAAATTGTTTTCCCGTATCCCTATATCATTGCAACTCAACGTCGTATACTTTAGATATTTCAGACTATGAACATGTTAGATCAGAAAATCTAAGTTTAATATGTTGAAAAGATATAGGGATAAATAAATGTAATTTTTGACAAAGACTAAATTCCTTTGAAATAAATTGTGCATAAAAGTAGATCACTAAACAATACTAAGAATCTTTGATTTTATCAAGATTCTCAACAGAAGGTTGGTTGAGGACTAGAAAATATTGATAAATACACCGTGGACAAAATGAATTTGTTTTCCTTAAACTAAATATTCTGAGGTCTTTAATCTTAATGATCTCGATATCCGAAGTTGGCACTTTGGAATTAGGGGATAAATGCTTGATCACCACGGAATATTAAGGAGGAATGAATTACTCAATACTTAATCCCAAGATTCACAAACCAAAATTTTTGAAATCCAAGCATGTCCATACATGTACTAAATCAAATATCGTGGCATGTGTAACCAATTATATTTAGTATCGTTAATAAACTTCGGGCCAACCACTCAAAACAACCAACCCTGGTTAGGCGGGTCCAAACTGCATAGTAAATTGTGATTGCTTATTTGTGAAATATATATGAAATATTCCAGAAGAAACCTCAAGAGTATTCTATATAACTCCAGAAAAAGACGAGACAAAGGTTTATAAACTTATTTTAATACTGCACTAGCAAAATTAAACTTATCTAAAAAGGAACTTAAACTATAAAAAAACATAAATTTAATGGTAAATTCAAAAACAATAAATATTTAAAAAACTTGCTTGGCGAATAAGAATGAATAATTTCTAAATTTCTACCTGATTAGAAAAAATTTTACAAGCTATGTGGCTTCCAATGCTGAACATTTCAATACCAAGGTCTGTCGTCATGCTTATCATTGGACGACCTTCTGAAAAATAAATATGTTTAACTCCCTTAAGAGTGTTATCACAGATTAATAGTATCAAGAGTCTATGGAGACAAACATAACAGGGTTTAATGTATCGGAGAACTGGAACTAATGGCTCAATCTTACATCTTATCAAATTGGGAGAACTGAGACTGAAGTTTCTGTCCTACATCTCATCCATAAATTGGTTCAAATGAGACTGGAGTTTCAGTCCTATATCTCATCCATAAATTGTTTTAACCGGGACTAAAGATTTAATCTCAAATATCATCTTTAGATTGGTTGTACAGGGACTAAAGGTTTAGTCTAAAATCTAAGTTTTAGATTGGTTGTACAGGGACTGAAGTTTTAGTCTAAAATCTAATTTTTAGATTGGTTGTACAGGAACTGAAGTTTTAGTCTCAAATATAATTTTTCGATTGGTTGTACAGGAACTGAAGGTTTAGTCTAAAATCTAATTTTTAGATTGGTTGTACAGGAACTGAAGTTTTAGTCTCAAATATAATTTTTAGATTGGTTGTATAGGGACTGAAGGTTTAGTCTCAAATATAATTTTTAGATTGGTTGTACAGGGACTGAAGGTTTGGTCTCCCATCTCATCTCTCCTGGCTGCCATCGTTTTATCCTAAAATCAAAATATTTTACTTTTCTTGACAAAAATTCTAAACTCAGATATTTTCCTTTAGTCAATTTGCATTCATGATTTCTAAGCATTCTGATTTAATCTCAAGTCAGAATTTATGTGCTTTGAATCTTGGAATAAAGCATTGATCTCCATCTTAGGCAGATATTCATTGGGCGTAATACTCTGCAGGGATAACTTAAATAAAGGGATCAATCATTGACCCTCAAATTTAAATGTGCCCAAATTGGATATTGAGATTAAGCGTTCAAGAATAACGATACTTCACAAAAAAATTCCGATCTCTGATCGTATTTTTAAACTTAATTTTTTGCGTTAAAATTATCTCCGGATTAATTCACAATCGTTGGATAATTCTCACGTCTACAGGTTTTGCACGTAAACAAAGATTTACAGCAGTGCAGGGTAGTATTTTATTGAAAAATCACCCACCCCCCTCCCTCTCTTAAACATAATTTGTTTTTCTCCAAGATGCTAGGTAAGGTTTGGGTTGTTTAAGGGGTTTTCGCTAAAATCATTAAAATACCTGCAGTTTTGAGTAAATTGTAGGAAATGCGATGGACGGAAATTGACCATTTAAGATGTTATACATAGCATCAAAAATCCCTCCTCCCCCCTTGATTACACCCCTGAAGCAGTGGCATAGTTGATCTAAATACACGTTTCCTACCTGCGTAGACTGACCGCTAGTTTGCGTAGTACATGTGGGGACTCCAGGTCCTCCTCCTGAACTCCTAACTTCTCTACTCTAGCCAACAACAGATCTTTATTCACACTATCATTCAATCTTAATTATTATAAATGAATTCTAGGCCTATTAGGGTTTAATGACTAAGGGCTGAAAGACGAACTCTTGAAAAGACGAACTCCTAGATATACCAACTCCTGAAATGACGAACTCCTGAGTATACCAACTCCTGAAAAGACCAACTCATTAAAAGACCAACTCATTAAAAGACCAACTCATTAAAAGACCAACTCATTAAAAGACCAACTCATTAAAAGACCAACTCCTGAAAAGACCAACCCATGAAAAGACCAACTCATGAAAAGACCAACTCCTGAATATACCAACTCCTAAAAAGACCACTCCTGAAAAAGTCTGTCTGTCTGATGAGTAGTAAGACTTCTTACATGTAAAAACAAGTATTTATCAATAATTTTTGTAAAATTCGATTAAGAAATTTCTATTTTGATGCTCAAAACCCATGATGGGGACTTTCTTCTGTTTTTTATATTGCATATATTGGGGGATGGGGGGAATCATCACTCCCCTCTTTTGAAAATCATTTCCCCCCCCCCCCTCGAAATTAAGTATGCTTTGGCGAAGTGTCAAAATTTATTTGAAGAGTTTTTTTAGCTGACATGGGGTAAATAAATGAATTTTTGAACTATAGTATCTAATAGGGAGATAAAAATTGCCTTTTGATTTTCAATTTTTCATTTCGCCGGCCCCAAATTATCAAAAATCACTATGAAAAATATACACCCCTTAAAAATCAATCAAAAAGCAATAAAATTCAGTATTTTAAAAGAAAGTTAAAATTATAAGTTTTTTATCAATTAAAAATTGCGTATTTTATAGTTGTAAATCTTATGCCTAATAGCGAAAATTTTAAAAAACAAAATTATTCAACTATTTAAATTTTTGCTTAAAAAATAACTATTTAATTGGACCCCTGTCAAAATTACACCTTTATGATTTTAGAATGGTTGACAAATATTTCTAATTCTTAATCTAGAAATTGATATTTTTCATATATTAATTTATTCTGTTATTTTTATCCTTAGAGAATTATTTATATAAGAAGTCGTGAATAAAAAAAACATACAATTGTTAAATTTTGATCACGTCCAATCTAAAATTTTGAAAAATACCTTTAAATCATTTTTTCCCCCAGGTTTTTTGAAATCCAGTCGACCTGTCTCCTGTTTTGAACTTGATAAGGAACCGAGAGTTGAATTCATATTTTTTAATAAATTTTTTTTTTAAAACTTATAATATGTTAGCTTATTGCATAAATTGGAACCTAAAATTAATTTTATTTTGATATTTTCTTTTAATGAATCATTGCTAAATTATTTTGGGACCTATAAATTGCTTTTACAATTTTATTGCTGCGAAATTTTGTTTATTGATAGATTGAGAAATTAATTTTGAGGACAAAAATTGTGGCAAAAATCTCTCAAATCTTAGAAAATAATTTTTTTTTTTCTGAAAAAAAATTCGCCTCAGATCATCAAAAAAAATTTGTCCCCTG